GAGAGAGAGAGAGAGAGAGAGAGAGAGAGAAAGAAAGAAAGACTTCCTCTAATGTTTTACCCATTTAAAAAGTTGAATGGTGGGCTAAGAGCACAGCTTAGTGGGAGATCCCTTGCCAACAGTTGCCTCTTTTGGTTTGATCTCTGGTACAATACAGTCACAAGTGAATGCTCTTTCCTGCCGTATAGTGATTTTGCGATTCCTGCATGTTGATGGCCTTTTACTGATAAGATCGTATCCTAGTATATGAGCCACAGTTTGTTCTTGCTCCTTTGATGACCTTCACGTTGTTGTGGATTTGGGCTACTGCATCTAAGGTTTCTGTGTGTGATGCTGTATAACAGTTTTGCGGAAATACGTTCTCAGGTCTCTTAACTGACTACCTGAGAGTAGTTACCGAGTCATATGCTAGGTGTTCATTTAACTGGGTTTTCCAGTGTGTTCTATTTTACACTCTCACAAGCAGTGTGTGACAATCCCAGATGTTAGTCCACGACCTCACCCTGTCTCCTACTCTGACTCCCTTTTAAAATCTGCTTGCTTTTGGCTGGTGTACAGTACAGTTGGGAAATTAGTTGTCCTGCGTTTATAATCTCTTTCTCCCCCAGGACTGATCTACTAGGATCTTGGAGCTACTCTGTCGTTATCGTATGTGTGCCATGTGCGTATCTGTCTCTGTGCATGTGTGCTGTGTGCATATCTGTCTCTGCGAATGTGTGCCATGTGCGTATCTGTCTCTGCCCATGTGTGCTGTGTGCGTATCTGTCTCTGCGCATGTGTGCTCTGTGTGTGTGTGTGTGTGTGTGTGTGTGTGTGTGTGTGTGTACACACTAGGGATCAGATACCCGTGTTTTACACACGCTAGGTAAGTGCTATACTACTAAGCCATATCGCCATCATTTAAAAAGTAGACTCGCCCTTTTCATCTCATACTTTACCTCATGTGGAATTAATTCTTCTATACAAATATTATAAATATAATCTTTTCCTTTATACATAGGGATACTTTTGTTCTATCTTTTAACTGTCTTCTCTGCAGTTAGCCAAGTGAGTTGAACTAAGGTCCTCATACATGCCAAGCAAGGCTCTACCACTGAGTTACAGCCCCGGGTTAATAACAATAATGTTTATCGAATAGTAGTTAGGCCTTTTCTCATAGATCTAAATTATCAACACTTTAAAACTTCCCATATATAATGGATCTTCCTAGATTCTGTTTTATACTTTTTTAAAAAAAAATTATTTTTCAGATTCTATTTCACAGGATTTTAAAAATTATTAATTTTTATTTTGTATGTGTGTTGCCTGTATACATACCTGTGTGCATCATTTGTGTGCCTGACACAGAGGTGAGAACAGGGCATTGAATTCCCTGAACCTGCACTTCTGGATGCTGTGAGTCAGCGTGCTGGTGCTGAGACCCAAACCCAGGTCCTTGGCTTGGACAGCAGGTTTTCTTAACCTCTGAGCCATTTCTCCAGCTCACACTTGTTTCAGACTTCCCTAATTATTATTATTGTACAATCGTTTTTGCACTTAGAACAGTGACTGTGTGTGTGAATTTATACAGTGTGATCCAGCATTCCCCTGTAATTATGCCAGAGGCTACAAGGAGACAGTTGCAAGCTCCAGGCCAGGCTAGGCTGTGTAGTGAGTTTAGGTCAATGTGGGCTATGTAAAGAGACCTTTACTCAAAACAGACAACAAATCATCAAGATAACATATGTTGATAAGATAAGGCATCTGTTAATTATGAACAGAGATCTGTTCATAATTGAGCCAATTCAAAATAGTCATAGGATCATTCCAGGTTTGTTTCACTTTGAGTCAGTTTTGGTAAGATGTGCAGTAGGAAGGATGTCTCTAGGGGTCATTTGGTCTTTGCAGTGATTGTGATCAGTGAGGAGAGACAGAGCAGCCAGGTGACGGATTTGAGAATTCAGTTCAGATCTTGACACTAGAGCTGGGAGACGCTTGAGTTTACTGACAGTGCAATACCCTTGTCCACCACAAGGTGGAAGCACTAACAAACAACTTTTTACTTCAAATGTTCTGTTGATGGAAAAAAAAAACCTCTATGTTTTGGAGTGATAGTCATTCTACCAATATGATCTGGTAATAATCTTCTTGGTAATATAAATTATTATATTTAATAAGGTGTATTCATTGTATTTATGAAATAATAAACTGGTATATAAAGGTTTTGTAGACTAGGGGAAGAGGATCAGTAAGACAAAGTATCTGTGAGAGCACTTCAGTGAGACTCCTCACACTGCACATTTTAAAACCAAATAAAAGTTGTTTGTGACTGGGTGTGATGATGCACACCTTTAGTTCCAGCATTCAGAAGGCAGAGACAGGTGAATCTCTGTGAATTCAAAGCCAGCTTGGTCTATATAGCAAGTTCCTGGCCAACCAGAGCTATATAGTAAGACCCTGTCTCAAAAAACCAACTAACCAAATGAAAGTGTTTTGTAGACAAATAAAATATCTACAAAAAAATTGACTAATTTAAAAGCTGTAACAATGTTGTTGGAAACTGGATTGTTAACATTTGTGGGACTTCACCTGAGACTTACCTAGAATCCAGAACAATCTGTTTAATTAGAGCCCCTGATGGTTGAGAATCTGTAATAAGCCATAGTATATTGACTTTTCCCAGCATGAACAGGGTTCGATTGAGATGTTTGAACATCTGGTTAATTCTAATGAACTCAAACTTGTCATGAAAAACTATGGTCTCATCCCTGAAGAAGATATTACCTTTATCCAGGAACTAATTATGGGACCACCTATAACACCAGTCAAAGACTCTTTGGTAAGTTTTTATTCATGTTAATTAGAGCCAACTGGTACTTTCTGTCTGATCTGGTCTTGATTCCTTCAGAGCTACACACTTGGCTGTTACAGGAGTGCTAAATGTCAGAATACGAGTTACATGCATTTGCCTTCTGACATAAATGAGTGATGTGTTTTTCCCTAATCTTGAGTTCATTAGACATTATTTCCCCTAAACGATAGCTTGTGTCTGCAGCCTCAGTACTTGGGATCAGAAGCAAGAGGATCAGAGTGTGAACGTATTCGTCTTGGGCCGGAGAGATGGCTCAGTAGTAAGAGGGCTTGCTCTGCAAGCGTGAGTATCTGAGTTCAGATCCCTAGCACCCATGTCAAAAGCCATACTTGGTAACAGACACCTTTAGTTCCACCACTCAAGGGGCAGAGGCCAACCTGGTCTACATAGACAGTTGCAGGATGGCCAGCCCTTCATGGGGGACCCTGTCTCAAGTAAACAACATAGCACAGCAACAACAATTTAATTTAAAAAAAAAACATGACTTGACACAGGCTTATAACCCCAGCACTGTGAGAGACAAAAGACACCCAGTATTGACCTCTTCTGGTACATCTTGTATGTGTGCACACACATATACACACACACATACACACATAGAGTCACACACACACACACACGAATATATACAAGCTAGAGTAAGGAACAACCATTTCATTTGTAAAACACAAAACTTGAGCTTTAAAAATGTTTTGAGTGTTTTGTATTTGGAGCTGGTGTGTGTCTGTTTTGAAACACTGTATAGCACAGTTGTGCTGGCCTGTGGTTGCATCTCCAGCTGAAAGGCTTGGTGTTTAGCACAACACACAGCGCGCAGCACAGCGCACAGCACGCAGCACAGCGCACAGCACAGCACACAGCACAGTGCACAGCGCAGTGCACAGCACAGCACACAGCACAGCCCACAGCACAGTGCACAGTGCAGTGCACAGCACAGCACACAGCACAGCCCACAGCACAGTGCACAGCACAGCACACAGTGCACAGCACAGCACACAGCACAGAATATACTTCACTGTTTGTTTTCCTTCCTACTTCATTAGAAGTGAGAAGGAGAAAGAAAAATTATCATTTTCTAACTTCAGTGTCTTGTTTATAATTTGCAGGTAGATACGGTTGCTTCTAAATAGATCTGTGTCTACCTAACCCTCCATGAGACTCTCTTGCTTTCCAGTGGCCATATAAAGGACGGCCTGCCAAGAAGAGCTTCCTGTACGAGATAGTGGCTAACAAAAGAAACGGCATCGATGTGGACAAATGGGACTATTTTGCCAGGTATGCACTGAACATTCCAGGTATGCACTGAACATTCCAGGTA